CGATACCGAAAAACTCGTATCGGTGCATCCCTAGTTTTAACCAATCATTTTATTCTATCAACAGGATATTGATCGAGTGGCCATAGTGGATGATGATTATTATGGGGATTTGGTGGTCCTCATTTGAATGTATTATTAGGCTGGTTGACATTATACTTGTTAAATAATAATAATAATACATTATTATTATTGTTCTTATTAGGGTTTATTGGCCATAATGATATTCCGATTATTCATTTCACTGGCTTAGTGTCCATAACGGTATTTATTATGGGAACTGCTGGTTGTAATGTTTTTGGGTTTTTTTTAACGTATCTTGTAAGAGGTTTTCCAGCAGTACAGGAGTTAATCTTAGCTCCTTGCATCCAGCAGCAGACATCCAATATTTTCAGACACTGAGAGGCCTGAGTGTCTGCGGCAATTTATATTGCGATGAACCATTGAAATCCCTAATTACAGCCAATTACGGTAGGATCTTAGGAGGATTAACAGAGTGTTCTTAACTTCCACTTTTCTCAGAAGTTTGGTCCCTATTCCGATCAATATTGGCTTCCATTGCTTTTAAATAACAACCGTGAGCCACAGCTGTATTGATCTGTGGTGTTATCTTCTCAGCTTTAGCTATGCATCCCTGATTTATGGTTCTATGCAAGAAATAGTGACTGTTTTGTGTATTATTTCTGTAGTTGGGGGGGGTTGGTAATGTCTGGCTTACCTTGTAAAATAGCAACATTGTCATTAAATATCCAAACACTCTTACTGTAACAAGGGTGGCTTAAAGCCAATACATTGGCTCTAAACAAAACATTTTGTTTTTTTGCATAGAGTGGGTAAGAGTTTATAAACTCGCACATTTTATTGATGTCGGAGGCCTCACTTGGGGTTTTCCCCCACTTCCTGTCCTTGGTACAGTATTGCCCCTTTCTCCCTGCACATGCCACATTGTTTCCTATGACAGGGCTGAACTGTGCTGGAGGCCACCATGAGTATGGCTCTTACATGGGAATGCACGGGTCCTTGGTGAACATGTGAAGGAAGAAGAGGCTGGGAGCATAGGGTCGCACAGTTAATATCACTGGAGTGGGGAAGGGGGTAAGTATTTTAACAGTTGGGGGTGGAGGCAAAGGTGTTGTACTTTAAAGAAGAACTCTGGGCAAAGCTTTTATTACTTCTGCTGTGGAGCTACCCCCACACTGCAAGGGTTAACTGCTTATTTTCCATCTAGAAGCTAAAATAAAAACGTTATACGTGCCTGATCCATCTGGCTGTCACAGTGCTCCCTCCAGCATGTCTCCTGCTACGCTGCAACGATGGTATGCCCCCTGGCATCCACAGTTTATCAGACGTGATGACGTGAGAATCTTTAGATTGCTGCAACGAAGGGGCAGCGATGCTGCAAGGACCGATGTAAGCCGGATTGGGTGAGTATAAATTTTCTTATTATAGCACCTAGATGGAAAAGAGCAGTTAACTCTTGTAGTGTGGGGGTAGCCCCACTGTAAGGGTTAAAGGAGAACTATGAGGTGAGTGAAAATCACTCATCCTCATAGTTCTAGCCGACGTGTGACAATGAAACTGTCACACATCGGTTTAATAGATCGGGAAGTGAGTGAACACATACCGCCGCTCGCTCAATTCTTGATCATCTCCCTGCAGAGAGAGGTGACTGTCACCCACGGCTCCCTGCAGGGATTCCCCCCCTCCCCGCTCAGATCCTTCAGCGCTGACTGGAGGAACGGACGGGGGAGGGGGCGGGCACAGCTAGCTCTGCCTCTAGATAGGCAGAGCCAGCTGTCACTCACGCAGCTGTGTGGATCTCGACAGTAATGTTCGGATCCATCCCGGCAGCGGCGGTCTGAGTATACTGCGAGCTGTCAATGCTAAAGCCTGATGAAGGGACCCTGCGCGGTCCCGAAAGCGCTTGTTTGGTCATATGACAAAAAACTTCAATAAATGAAGCTTTTGCTATCTTAAAAGGATTGGTGTGCTGGTGACATTTCTACAATTATACTGAGCTTTGGGTCACGGGAGGAAGCTAGTTTTTGTCCTCCTGTGACCCTTAAGAGAACTATGGGGAAACGCACTGACCCCATAGTTATCCTTTACTAAAAGTTTTGCCTGGAGTACTTCTTTATGGAGCTTTTTTTTTACTTTGCATATAGACTGCTGGTTCTGCTTCAGAAACAGAAACAAAGTTGCTGATGGTTTATTTTTAGAAAACTCAACACCTTTATCATTATATAATGTTTTTGTTTAGAGTGGCATTGCATAAAGCAGATATATAACTGTGTGTTTTGCTGGGAAAGTCAATGCCAGGCTGGCTCTTTCATACTTTACTTTATAAACTGTTTTTGGAACTTTATTCATAATAAGGAAAACAAGAAAATGGGTGCAGTATAGCTTAGTCACATTCTTATTCATTATTGGTAGTGGGAGTATTGCAGTATTTTTGTATTCCGCCCTCATGACCCAGTGACTCCTGTTTGGGCTCATTTGTCCTCAGTATAATTATGGCTGCAGACAGAACTGAGGGGGGGGGGGATATTTATCATTAAACAAGAAAGAAAAAGATAAGACAACCTTGCATTTTCCTTCATCTAGGATTCTTTTTTTTTCTTCTTTAAATTCTTTTGATTAGTTATTTTTTAGCAATTCATCTTTATTTGGCTCTGCAAGATAATGAAACCATTAATCATTTTGTAAGCAATATCATGGCTAGACTAATAGAAGAAGGTAGTGTAATATAACTCCGTAGCCTGTGCCTGACCTGTCAGAAATAAACATTTTTATGGATAACTCCAGACTCCAGTTTCTTAAAAACGGCTATATCTCAAGGGCACTGGAAGGACGTGGAATCAAAGTGCTGGACCTGCACGGTTTGTCCCATAGCTGTGGCTGACTAATTAGGATGTGAAAGAGACGGCATTGACAATTCTGCATATTTCAAGGACAGACACTGGTTTCTGGTTTGAAAACAGAATACCTTCATTTATTGTGTAGTAGTTGATGGAACAATATATAGTTTAGACACCATCTGTGCAATTCCAATTCAGATTTTGATTCTGGCTGCTTAAAGGAGAACTATGAGGTGAGTTCTTTTCACTCACCTCATAGTTCTAGCCGACCTGTGACAATGAGACTGTCACAGGTTGGCTCAGTAGATCGGGAGGTGAGCGAACACATGCCGGTGTTCGCTCACTTCTCGATCCTGTCACGGCTCTCTGCCGTGACAGGGGAGGGGATGGATTCCCCCCTCCCCGCTCCGATCCGCCAGCGCTGACTGGCGGAACGGACGGGGGAGGGGGCGGGTACAGCTGGCTCTGCCTCTAGATAGGCAGAGTCAGCTGTCACTCACGCAGCTGGGCGGATCTCGACATCGATGTCGGGATCCGCTCCAGCTGCGGCGTCTCAGTATACCGCGAGCTGTAGCTTGCGGTATACTGAGCTTAGGGTGACGGGAGGACGCTAGTTTGTGTCCTCCCGTTACCCTAAGGAGAACTATGGGGAAAACCCCTCACCCCATAGTTCTCCTTTAATTTGCAAGGGGCATAATTGCAGCCTATACCGCTGGTCTGGGGGCTCAGGGGCAAAAAGGGCCCTGTCCATGTCTGAAAATTGATTTAACAAAAAAAAGGAATCAATACATTTCACAATCTTTATTAGTCACCTGCTTAGTAAAAGATTGCTGTCTCAGTGATTGAGAATGGCATTCAATTTTAACATGCATTCATCCACCGGCCTTGACCCTCTTAGTTTTGGGTTAATTATAAAGAAGGTGCTGGTTATGGTACATAGCGTGACTTTGGCAAACTAGTGGCAGTGAGTTGCCCTGCCTGCCCCGAGGATCACAGAGTGACCTATTTAGAATGCCTGACTGCTACATGTAATTGTTCATTTAGAGTGCCACTCATTGTTAAGCCTTAACAATGGGGGGGCATTGAATTAAATGGGGGCAGAGGTGGACTAATTAAAATGGAATGTAGGAGCCAGTCTTTCCAATCCAGGAGCCAGCTCCATTGACAACAACTAGAGAAAACCTCAAAAATGAGGCTTCATCTGTCATTTTTAAAGAGCATTGGCTGCCTGGCGCCTGGGACTGGGTCCATCCCTGTATTAAGGATTGTAAATTAAAGTTTTTCCATAGGATGCATTATAGACTGTTTAGCTCGGACTACCAGTCCAAATCAATGACCCAGAACAAAAAAGAAGGGGTCAATGGCACTAGTATGCCGATCAATACGCCTTTATTGACGCATGCTCAGTATCACAAAACGCGATGTTTCGGGGGCCACGCAGGGTCCCCTCTAACAGGCAAAACAGTGATAATCATCCATTTCTCAGTGCAGCACCCACCTATTCCAAAAGGGATCTACCGGACAGGAGTGCGGTGGGACTTTAAAATGACCCAGAACAAGTGCGCAAATCGGGGAAGTCAGAGAAAAGTCAGAATCCCTTATCTGCACACTTGTTCCAGGTCAGACACTCAAAGCATTGATGCAAGAAGGTTAAGCTAACAGTCAAACAATACAGGTCAGATAAATGCATTGATCACATTATTTATAAAGTATCATATACTGCAGTGATGGCATAATAACAAAGACAACTGAAAGCTTGCAACAATGTGCATTCATCCAGGTCAGCCAGTCAGATTTAGAGTTACTGTAGTCAGGTGAGGGAAAAAAGGCAAAGTATGATTTCCACCAGGGTTTGCTAAGCATTGCACATGGCCATTACACCTTGCTTGTACTGCCTTGTTAAAGACAGTAAGGTCTTGTACGCTGTACCGGCCATGCTGCGGTAGTCCTCTCTATTTTGTCTTGAATATGAAGAAGGGAAGGAAGAGGTTAGCAGATTGCCATTGTCGTTCCTGTTTTGTGCCGAGGGGCAGTGTTAGTGTGTGACACTTGCTGCTGACATGCTCGCTTCCCCAGTTGTGGCTGCAGGACACGCCTCGTCACTTGCAGGTGTCTGCTCTGAGCAGGAAGTTCTGCACTAGCTGCTTCTGTACTTCTGCCAGTTTCACACACTTGTGATCTCTTGTCACCGAACCGAGCAGCCCTGAAACGCGTCTTCCCAGCCCACCGTCTGAGCACACCGTTACCTTTTGCGCACTTGAAGGAGACCTCTTCCACCCTGCTCTGTCACCTACACCTTCATCGTGCATTTTTTTTTAAATGGACCTCCAATGTTCTTCGGGACCAGCGGAACCATATTTTTCAGAGAAGTGAAATTTTTCTAGCAAACATATTTCCGAGCCTGGGGGAGGGGAACTCCCTGGACCTGTTTCGTCTTTAAGGATTTACAGCTGGTCGCTAGTATTTTATTTATTTTATAGAGATGAGCTCCGCCGATCGAGTCCTTGATCCCGATCCATTGGGAATCCACGACCCTAAAGACAACCCTGATATTGATTTCGACTTTGCTGACCTGTTTAATTATGAGTCTTCCAACTCTCTGGAAGGTTTGTAAACAATTGGGATAGAGGCATCAGGTGTTCTATGTTTTGTGTGTTGGTTATATCAATATTGTACAGTATTTTATGAAAGTTCTGTGTTTTTTGTGTCATACTTTGTGAAGTGAAACATAATACACGTGTTAGACCAGAGAAAGCGAGGGTTAAACCTGTTTTGCTCACAGCAGGTCCATAAAATTATGTTTGCCTTCTATTTTTCGTCTGTTTGCAGTCGGCACAGCATTGTGTACATTCATTAACCTGTCCTCGTATTTGCTTTTGGCAGGTCTTCAGCTGTGTTTAGCTTTTTTGCCACACGTGTCAGTTGCAAACAATAGTGATATTTTATGCGGCTATATTTACGCTCTTGCTAAAGTCTACAGTATGTATAGCCAGTTTCTTACATAGGGTACTGGTAATGTTTAAGCCGGAACCATTCAGGAAAAGTAGTTTACAGTCCTTCTATTAAAAGGGAAACTGTCATCAAGAAAAGAGCGCGTGCATACGCTACAGTAATACATTTAAACCAAGAATGTCAGTTCCTGGCTCTGCATTATTGCGTAATACTAATTTAGTGGCCATTTTGCCGAATCATCGGTAGTGTTCAACACTCTAGACTCCATGTAGCTTTCTTTTATCAAGTTAGAGATTTAAATAGATGCCGAAGCCACTAGGTTTTCACTGCTGATTACTCAGGGATGGTAGTATGAATTCTTCAGCACTGTGATAATGTCCACAGAAATGTCTTCAGATACGATGTATCGTCTTAATATATCAGTGAACCATACTTGGGCATTGGTTCAGTATGGTCTAGAACAGGGATAGGCAACCTTGGCACGCCAGCTGTGGGGATATTACATATCCTATCATGCGTCTGCCTCTGGGAGTCATGCCTCTGGCTGTCAGAGTCTTGCAGTGCCTCATGGGACTTGTAGTTCTACAACAACTGCATTGCCAAGGTTGCCTACCCCCTGATGTTGCATAGTGATAAGCAGGTGATAAAGTGCAGAGGACAGGAAGCAATGTACGGTAGTCATTTTGAAAGAACTGTAGTCAAGTAGAGGGTTAAATAATGTAGAGAAAGCACCCAGAATTTACATGGAACCCACACCATATGTGTGTACACCAGTAATTTTGCATGCATCTAGTTTGTATGCTGGACAAATATTTACATGTGTCTGCAAGATAATACATTGATTTATTTAGGATGTGCAAGCTACCATGTAATCACAAGCTCACAGGGGACTTGTACATGCTGTTTGAGCAGCTGGTTAACTTAACTCTTCAAGTGGAAGTAGTTCAGTATTTTGACCTAACTTGCAAGTCCAAGAGCGATACTCTGCATGTTCAGAAATATTTGCAAAGGTAAACACTGCATACCCAGATTGCTGATCCCCTCAGCGTGTTTCTATGGTGCTGTCAGCTTTGCTTCACAGGCCCGAGTAAACTATGATTCTGTGAGCAGATGGAAAAGTATGCTGGGAGTTGTAGTTTTAAACCATTGACTGCTCTAGCTGTAGCCCAGATTCTATTAATAATTGGCTGATGGGGACGCTGGCTGCTGAAGTGGTATGTTAATATATTTAAAATTAGTTAGACGTCTATTAGTAATTTTCTACCTCCATGCTTATTGACTTTTGTTATGTTCATTAAGATTTTCAATAGCCCCTCAATAACCGTGTTATGTTAAAATTGAAGGAAAAGTCATTGATGAGGATGTTAGTGTGTTATGGTGTGCTCTGGCCTACTCGCACCATACTTAGAGCATATTGCAGTAATCCAAAATCAGTATAGGGGCACTCGGAGGTCTTACAGCGAAGATAAGACAAAGCAACAGCATTTGATTGTCAGTCAGTTCAGTCCGTTTTTATCAAGACCCGGCATTGAACATTGACAATAATGTTATTGCTTTCACTTTTTTTCCACTGCAAGACCTGTGAGTCTCTCTATACCTAGTATGGATTTGTATGGATATTTTGTAGATGCGCACTTGGTCATTTACCTCACAAATAGAGTGCGGTGACCACCCTTGGGATTGTATATGTTCATCAGGAATCAAAATTCTGAATCTAGGAAGCATTCCTAAATTATGTTCTATTTGTTTGCAACTGAAGCTTTAGTATATGTAAGTCACTTTATGATAAATGAAAAAGATCAGATCATCTTTAGACTTCCCATACATGTGCATTTCATATTAAAAGTTAGTCTAGAGCAGGGATGGCCAAACTGCGGCCCTCCAGCTGTGGTGGAACTACGAATCCCATGAGGCTTTGCAAGATTCTCACAGCCACAGGCATGACTCCCGGAGAGAGATGCTTCATGGGATTTGTAGTTTCACCACAGCTGGAGTTTGGCCATCCCTGGTCTAGAGGAATGTTCGGAACAACCTGTTGTCTTCTTATAGGTGCTGTAGCCACTAGCAGTGAAATCTCTGAGCTACTGGTGTTGATTTACTGAACTCAAATTGGCTGTCCACTTTGCAAGGGAATTTGCACGTTGCGGGGGAAGTTTCCACTTAGCTTGGTGAATTTAGGGAAATTTCACTTTGCAAAGAACACCCAATCACGCGCAAGGAAAATGAAAAAAAACAACAGTATATTTGCATGCACATGATTGGATGATGGATGTCAGCAGAGCTTCACTTAATTCAATTAAATTAAGAGAAAACTTCCCCTGCAAAGTAAAAATTCCCCGGCAAAGTAAACAGCCTATTTGCCTTTAGTAAATGAACCCCACAGTTTAGACCTTTTTTCTTGCGGGAGTAGTCCCCCCTACTTGATTTGCATAAATCGCAATAATCTCTCCCCATTTTTACTCCAAACTTAATACAAATCTTAATGATATGAGAGCTCCTCAAATTGGTCAACCAAACTCGGTTGCTAAGGCGTTATTTAGCGTTTTAGTATGAGTATCTGGCAGGTTATACAACCTACCTTCTAGAATGGCTATCTTTGTATAGGCCAGTAATAGGCAACTCTGACCCTCCAGCTGTTGTGGAACTACAAGTCCCATGAGGCATTGCAAGACTGACAGTTACAGCCATAACTCCCAGAGGCATGTTGGGATTTGTAGTTAAAGCACAGCTGGAGGGTCGGAGTTGCCCACCCCTATTCTTGGCAATGCACCAAAAACACTACAAGGCTTAGCTGTTCAAGAGAGTCTTCTGCTGACCCAAATGGGCCAGTGTGGGCTTGCTGGTTTCCATTGCATTGGTGTCAAGGAATTCCAGCTGTTCTGTCCTGAAAGGCTTGCAAAGGATTATACATTCAACTTTTACATGAAAGCATAAAAACTAAAGTGTTCATGGTTAGCCATGGCTCATAGTATTTGGTACTTTGCGTCTAGTCGGCCCCGATCTAGCTCCTCTTCCTATCTCACCTCTGATTTACAGCTAGCATGAGAAAAGGCACTTTCCAACTGCACATTCTCTGCCCATGTTGTTTAATAATAGTCACCTTTATGGGTTATTTATAAATACTTGAAATTTCAAAGATAAATATTTTTTCTCATTAAGAATAAACAGAATGCTCTTTTATCTATGCATTATGCAAAGTATACAGTAGAGCTAGCTTGTACTGCATGGTTACAAAACCCATACATAATCATTCACATAGGGTGTTTGAAAGAAGGCTTTTTTTTTCTATTTTGAGTTTGCTTTTTTTGTTACATTTTAGAGCTTGCTAATGATGGTAAAGCCTTTTTTGCTGTCACATTCTTACTCTTATCTCACTGTGAATTAAGTTACATTCATGTGTAAGGCTGGGTTCACACCTAGGCGTATCGAATATGCGCGTTTGTCGCGCGTATCGAATATGGGCGTTTGTCGCGCGATTCGCTGTAAATACAAAAATGCGCGACAAGCGCGCGTTTCCGAGGGCTACTTGGCTGTATCCCAATAGAAACGCGCGACAAAATAGAAGTACGCGCGACTGTACTTCTTTGGGCGTAGGGCGTTTTGTAGAGCGTTCATGCGGCCTGTAATACGCCCAGGTGTGAACCATACCCATAGGAAATAATGGGATTTCGGTGTTTGAGCGTTTTGCAGAGCGTAGGAACGCGCTACAAAACGCCCAGGTGTGAACCGGGCCTAAGAGGTTCCTACTGGTATAATGTGGTCAGCAGAGACACCACAGCAAGTATGAAACTATAATACATATCAATCAGTCCCATTCATATCTGAGCACCACTGTGCTGTGTGTTATGGAAAACAAAGCCTGCATGAATTGTATTGTATCAGCATGAATTTTGGGGCTTATAGAAATTAAGGTAATGCAGTAAAAGGGATAAGTAGTGCCATTTACTGCTTAGCAATGTAGCATACAATATGACTAGCAGACATTGATTGATTCTCCATTCTTTATAGACAAATACATGCAGAATGCATGCTGGCAAATGTTAAACAGCAGGAAACAAAGTAAAAATTCACATTATAAATGCATAAAATTACATGCATTCATTCAAAGTGTGAATCTAGACTCAGGGTACAATTCATGAACAAGGAACATACTGCCTTAAAATATTGTATTATTATTAAAACAGGCCTGTTTAACATTGACGCCTTACCAATAATACTACATCATGTCTAAAAGCTAAAATGTACTCTATAGTCACTGTCAAGCATGTCAGAATATCAACGAGAAAACAGCCTCTTATATTATCCATAGTATATCAGTCTCTACTAGAAATAATAATCTAAAACAGTGGACAAATGGCCCCCTATGGTGTAAGCTCATACATAAAACGTAGCTGTGATTCCATTATTATGCTACTATTAATTGGAGCTCCTTGTTCCCTCTCTAATCTATGCATTGCTACTCTTAGGGAAACATCAATAAAGCAGTGGTACGACCTAACCACTTCCATAATGCTGCTTTAACAAAAAACAAATGGAAGTTAAAAAACAAACAAATAGATGACCGGCTTCTCTGAGTTCTCTCTGCCGTGTTAAACAAAGAAACATTCATGGAACACCACAGGCCTATCACTGTGGCCTGTATTTTAGGAATGGG